ACATCTTCTATTACAGAAAGAGTAACATGGTTACCTCCATGCTGTGCACATACAACAAATAAGGAAGTAATATTTCACTACACTTGACCTTGTATCAGTACAGGGCCATTCTCACTTGAATTAGAGAGGCAGAACAAAAGAAATGAGAAAGGAAGAAAGGAAGAAATTGGTACAGTTGGACACAAACTTAGTTGTGTCCTTATGCTTAACCCTTCACATACAGAACCATCCACTTATCAGGAGATGTTATCAAGGTGCTCTTAATACCTTGGGGAAGATGTTCACTGCAGCAACTGAATGAAACAGCTGTGAGAAATGAATGACAAAGTGGTTAATACAATAAACATTGTTTGTCACATATTTTGTGAGGATAGATGATTAATTTCCTGAATTAGAGCTCAGTGAGTGGTATGCTTTTGACATGTGGGCTTCTACTAAAAATAGTCAAAAATAACTGTTGTGGTCTGAAAATTATTTAAGCTTGTATTAACATTTTGTACATTGTAATTATCTGGTTGAGTTTAAACGTAACTCTTTGGTCATTTTTTCTGTGGTATTGCACAATAAGCCATGCAGAAGCTTTTCATCAGTGACCTTCTGACCAATTAGTGAGACCAATTAGAGTTCACCAATGTATTTGTATCCTAGATGTGCTACAGGGGACTTGTAGCAATACAAGATAGTCTTTCTGTGAGCCGAATACAAGATAAATTAAGTTTCTAAGAAAAATTGTTGAATTCATTGAATTTAGTAGTTCCTAGCAACATTATGTAATGTGGAAAAATAAGTGGTTTTATGCAAATGAAATAAATGTAGTTTATACGTGAATAAGTCCTTCCTCTTATTTTTTTAGATTTTCTGGAGCATGCAAAAAACCCAGTACATTTGCTCTCAAGGTACTCACAGCTTTGACATTTGTGCTCATGAGGTACTCCAGTTTACTCCAGTTTAATCTGGAACCTTTGGTATGGTGTTGTATACATTCTCAGTGTTGTAAACTTGCTGATGGAAGAAAACTTTTTCCCAGTCTCCATCCCAATCAGGATAACTAAGTAATTAAAGACTGAGAAAGCCTGCTCAGGTCTTGCAACGTACATATGCCATATCGCCAAGAGTGTAGAGACCAGGGTGGGTAGACCAAGGGCTGAGACCCTGACCTATGGGGCCATTTCTGTCATACCAGTGAAGTTGTTCTACCATCCTTCAAAGGGACAGATCTTGTCCTCAGGAGCAGAAACTAAATGGTCCTTGGAATGCAACCTGAACTGAAAAGTCCAAAAGCTTTGGAGCACTGTAAGGCTGTGACAATTAGATCTTTGGCTTCATATAATTCCAAAGAAAAATAATTACACAAAATGTCATTTTTTCTGGGTAGTTTGGTTGGAATGAAATGGGGATCATAGTAGATAAGCAATCAATGTGAGAAAGTATATTCATTTTATAATGGATATCCTCTCAATCATTTTAGATATTTTTTATTATTTCATTTATAAACAATACAACTGTATGATATAGTAGCCAAAAACCAGAACAAATCAACCCCTCCCTTCCATCCTCATTCACAATGGCAAGCCACATCTACAGAGAGATAAAAACACTGCATGTAACAATGAGGGATGTAAAATGGTTTTAATTAAGACCCCCTTATCTAATTGTCAGTGGTCAAATAATTTTGAAATCATGATTTCATTGCCTTGAGCATGTTCTGTTTATGATCCTGCTGAAAATTCTTTAAAATGGGTTAAAATGACTGTCCCTGAATAGGTATATCCTAGCAGTGTGTTTAAGAGACATGAGGACTGATTTTGAGCATTTGTTTCATATTGTTATAAAGAGAGTCTACTATCAGAGTTATCAAATACGTTTAGAATGTGTGGAACTGACTGCCATCAGCCGAGAGTGAAATATGGTTTTTGGGCCCCTGTTTGTCACTGAGATTAATACGTACATTGTTTTGGATTAAAACTGTTCCAGGAGTTCTAATGAATAAACAATAGAAATAATGGAAACCTCTGGTTAAGTAATGGTTAAGTACACCAGCCCATACAGAACTAAGGATCTATTACTCAATGGATGTGCACACAAACACTTGGTTTATTATCTGCCAAATATGGATTACACTGATAGGGGGATTATAACAACCATAGTGTACTAAAACCAGCCTATAGCTAGTGCTATACCAGAATGTAAAAAAACACTTATATGCATCCATAGAAAGTTTCCTTATTTGGAGTAAAAGATGCAACAGATAACACATGAATGTTCCCTTTCACTTAGATGCTAAATATTATTATATCTGAGTTTAATAGTTGTAATGCTCTATGCCTAAAGCATTCTAAGGAATATTTGTCTTTTTAAGATGAAAAATTAGAGCTGATTTTTTATGCTG